ATTTAAACATCCTACAGAAAAGTTGGGGAAAAAAATATCTTTGAGTATGGCTACGTATCATGGGTGGTCGACGTTTTAAAACTTGACTACAAGCTCTGGTATACAGTTAGGCATTTAAACACCCTTTTTTTTTTTTGTGCTTAATTTCTGGAGGTGCTAAGCAACCACAATTCCTGTTTTTTTGAGAATCACGTACTGGCTTCTTTGATGGTCAGTGAGGATTTGGGTGCACAGTTAGGAAAAGACCGTGGCTGCGTGTCACTTCCTGGGACATATTATCTGGGACGTAACCTGACTGGATTCACAAGTTTGATTCCAGTATGCAGACGAAGACAAAACGTCTTCCCGTGAAGGTGATAGAAAGGCAGTCAGCAGTGACAGAAAAGACGGTAAACCATGTGTAGGTCCTGGGCCTACATGTGGGCAATGTGGGTCTCCAGCAGAACTCCAGATTTGTGGGTTTGGTGTGAGGAGACACCATCCTATGGATGAAGGACAATTCCACCTCCTTTTGGAAGAGACCACCTAAAATCCGGCAATGCACACTTGCTTGGTCTCCGGTCCTGTCTGCTAGAAAAATACAGACCTTTCTCAGTGTTCTTGTTGATGAAGAAATATTAGAGGAAGAAGTTATCCAAGACTTCATGGATGAGACTCATCCATTCAGTATGCAACATTTCTTCAGTCTCAGACAATTTGATAAGTTCCTGCTATTCTCGCTAACAAGAAGTTGCCATGCAAAACCAGCACAATGAAAGCTGAACTTTTTAGGAATGTGTTACAAAATGTTAGCAATTGAAAGAGACGATGGATAGGAAATTCCAACTATCTGTATGACTTTCTAGAGGGTCTGTCCCTATGCTGTTTAGACTGATGACCATGCGTTCCAGAGAGATATTTTTTCAAAGTTCACTGCCGCTTCCACTGCATAATGCAAATAAGACTTTTATGTCTTTGGTCTTATATGCATTTTTTCTCATTATCACTATTTTATTCATTCATTTACTCATTCACAGGAGGAGCTATCTCCAACATGTACAGCATAATGGCTGCACGCTATAAGTATTTCCCTGAAGTCAAAACCAAAGGCATGGCTGCAGTCCCTAAACTGGTTCTCTTTACCTCGGAACATGTGAGCTAACTGCTAATTTTTATTTATTGATGTATGTTGTGAAGATGCTTCAACAACCACTCCATTAAATGTGCATATGTTTTGCTGCAGAGTCACTACTCAATAAAGAAAGCTGGAGCTGCACTTGGATTTGGAACAGACAATGTGATATTGATAAAATGCAATGAAAGGTAGGATGAATGCTAAGGTTTTGATACATTAAATGTGTTCATCTGTTAAATTCGTTGTATTGTGCTTAAGGACTGGTTCAGTACAGTGTGTCAAGTTGCTAATGGCCTGTTGAGAAAATCCTATTAAATTATTTCAACTGTAGCTAGTATGTCCATATGCACTCTTTAATTTTCTTTGTCTTTCTGTTTCTACAATAATTGCAGAGGCAAAATAATACCAGCTGATTTGGAGGCAAAAATTTTGGAAGCAAAACAAAAGGTTTGTGTTTTTCAGAATTAGTGCTTAAATGCTTGGCTTAGTAAAATCACCTCTTCCTTTGAAGGCTGAGTGTTATCATTAAAAGAAAACTTTATAATGATATAAATGTTATCATAATATTTTCAGCTGCTTAATTATGCATTCATATATTGTTTAGGGAATGGAAATGTTTCCATTTATTATTTAAAAATAAAGTATTTTTAACTCTTGAACCACATCTGTATTTTATGACTTTTAAAAATAACTTTCTGTTTGGAAATATATGGAAAAAAGTATGAAAACCTGAAACTAAACCTACTTTTATCCAAACTTTAAAGCTTAGCCAAAACCACCAAAAAATTCTATTGAAGTCCTAAAAATTCCCATAGATTTCAAGTGTGAGGCTGCAGGGTTAGTAAATATAGCCAGTAAGTTTAATTTTTTGAGGCATTTATTGTTATTTCTTGAATCAATGAAATGAAAAATCCATTAATTTTGTATAAAATCACCAAAGCTAGAGCAATCAAGATTATTATTTTTTTTTATTTCTTAACTTCTTTACATTCGGGCACTCTATGATATTGCAGTTTACATTTTTTTTTAAATCTAATTCAAAATTGTTTCACTTTGATCTGATAGTACCACATTTATTGCTTTTGGTTTTGATTGCTTTGTTCTGCTTTGTTCTGTTTATTAGTAGATAAAGGCTAAAGGAACAACTTCAAGCCTTCAAATCACAACTTATAAATCATATTTAATTAATTTTCCTTTATACTACTAAAAAAGTCTCAACTTTACTGGACTATTGCTAGTCTTCTACTAGAACATTTGAATTTCCTCACTGAAAGAGATTAGACAAAATAATATTCTTTATCTTCTGACTAGTTAATTTTGTGAAGTTACAGTACAATAAAACCAGAGTTTGTTCCTACCATGTATACAATTTGTTAATTTCTACTATTGCTTATATGTACCTTTCACATGGGAAGAAAAACATTTTTAGGCTGGAAAATGGGATAGCAACATTTCAAAAATGATTTTAACATATTTTTTTTCCTGAAAGAGGTTGGATTTTGGATTTAATATTTTTATTTTTATTGTAGGGATACGTTCCTCTTTTTGTAAATGCAACTGCAGGCACAACTGTATATGGAGCCTTTGATCCAATACAGGAGATTGCAGATATATGTGAAAAATATAACCTCTGGCTCCATGTAGATGTAAGTAACTACATTAAGTACTATTGTTCAGGCAAAAGAGGATTTTTGTTTACACGTTTTGTCTTTAAATAAAATATTTATTACTAGATCCTGAGCAAAGTAAAATATGTTAAACTTTTCCCAAAACAATGAGTCCTCTTTTTTTTTTTCTCTCTCTTCCAGGCTGCCTGGGGAGGTGGACTCTTAATGTCCCGAAAGCATCGTCATAAATTGAATGGAATAGAAAGGTACTACATGGTATTTATTTGTAACACTGGTATTAAAGTACTTTCATAAGGTACACAACATGTCACAAATTCATGAAAAGATGAATTTGCTGCATTAAGGAGTTCAAACATTATATTAAACAAAAGCAAGATAGACATGAAAGGTTCACATTAGGAAGACTGAAACAATACTACAGAAGAAAACAGTGATGTACAGCTGAGTGACAGTTAAGTTTTCAGCACATTTGAAGGAGGACAAGGATATTGCTTGGCAAAAAGGAAGGAGATTGTTCTATGTGTAGATTTGAAGGGATCGAAAGTCTGGGAAAGGGTGAAGGAGGATTTAAGGAAAAAATGAAGTGAGAGAGCTAGACAATCTCTGAAATGTAGGGCTTTGAGAACAGGAGTGAGAAATGAGGAATCCAGAGGTGGTGTTTGAGCACGAATACCTATGATGGGAAGCCATGGCATGTTGGGAATTTGTAGAGAGTATCTCTTGAAAGATGTTTGCAGTTATTTCCAGAAAATAAAAAGTATATATTCTGCCTGAAAATGAGTGCTCTGTAAATGAAAGTTTATAAATACATATATGTGTATGCTTGCTCTTGTATTGCTTATATAGGTATACACACACACAAAAATATATTTGTATACAACAAAGACAGGAACACATGGTAGAGACTGAATTAGCAGCAATTTTTAGTGGCAAATTTCAGTACCTGTAAGGTTGGTACAGTTCTATGGTGCCAGGCAGAAGACTGAGGGAACTTAGAGGGAGGCTAGAGAGAGTCACGGATACTGACCATGTCTCAGGGTGAAGGGGTCTGTGAGTTGGTGCCATGTGGGGATTACATGAAACAAGCAGGAAGATCTTGTGGAGACCAGAGTGCGGTCTGCAGAAAAGAGTGCCCGTGTACCCCCAAACACATAACCCAGGTTACCAAGATACCCACTGAGACCAGAAGCCAGCCTTTATTAAACAATTAAGTGAACCAAATTTAAAAAGGCAAAGCATTTGCATTGGAAGTGATATTAGAGTGAGAAAGTGACCCTCCCCACCAGCCCTTACAATTCAGCCTAAGGGGGGGTCCCATGTGTAGTACTTGGCACAGATGTTGCCATATCCAACAATGACAAGGCTGTAGTCTGTAGAAGATGCCATGTTTATAACCCCATGGGTATGTTTGTCTGTAGATTTCCTCTGAAACTGCTCTACCATAAAAGGCAAAAAAATAATAATAAAAAAAAAAATAAGAAAAGCAATGAAGAATAAGAAACATAAGATCTTTGCCATCATTGCAGATATCGTCTTCCAGGGAAGCAAAAGAGATTTGAAACGAGCTCTACCCATGTACTCTCAAATTAGCATGAAATTGCTTCCTTGAGTCAACTGTGCTGAAAGTGGGCACTGTGTAAAGGTGTAAAATAAGAACAGTGAGCGATGCATTTCCTTAGGGAAAATAATCTTTCCTGGTGGTGGGCATCTCACACAGTAAGCGAATAACAAATATAAGATAAAGACTAATGTACAAAAGGACTGGTAGGAAAACCATGTGGACCCTTCTGTCACAGGGACAGCAGTGTGTGGTGTGGCAGGAGTGCTCTGAAGTAGCAGAATCGTATCTACCTCCGCCCAATCCAATTTGCAAGTCACTCGTGTTATGGCAACATGTCTAATATGAGGTCAGCATTGTAAAATAATTTCCTTAAGCTACACAAGTTTGGTCACAGTAGTTTGGCACACCTCTTTTGACCTGAGGTCAACCCAGGGGTGCTAATTAAGACCCTGATCTTAAGCAAGTACAGAAAGCAGCAGGCCATGAAGCATGGTATTATTTCTTTTCTAGTCAGCTGTATGCATCTTCAAACATGGGATGGGGCCCATGTGTCTTCCTGCATAATTGCCTGTCACGGGCTCCAGCTGGGGTCTGTGGCTAACACTCAGGCCAGATTTGGCCGGCCCAGAGCCATGGGCATGTAAGGACTGGCACGTGGCCATGGTACAGAGCTGGGATCGCCTGAGGTAGGACAGCCTCCGGGTGGTGGGCTGTGCAGGGTAGAGAGTGACGTCTTCATGTTAAAGTAAACCTAATGGTCCTTGTGAAAATGGCTTGAAACTGTCTTTGTTTGGAACCCTGAAAGTTAAACAAATGTGCTAAACTGAAGCTGTAGCTCTCTCAAAAGGAGATGAGCTGTTATATAAATTCCTGTTTCTTGAGAACTCCATCTGAACTATTGGTGAAGTTTTTTAAAAGATAATTGCCTCCTATGTCTGAGCGTTATACCTGCTGGTTTGCACTGCCTCAGCAGGAGTTTTTGGAGGGATAGCGAGTTCCCCAGGTACAGCAGAGGCTGCACTGTTCTTTTGGCTGAGGGGTGCTATGGTCTAACTTAGCGCTGGCAAAGGTTGGAATTGTATCTGGAATCTTTATGGAATTAGTGGTCCTCAGACTGGGGTGAAGGGGTCATTGTGTTGCTCAAAACAGGGGAACTGTGGATGTGTCTGTGTCCTCTGAGAACAAGGTGTAGAAGAAGAAGAAGTATCTTTGAATTTTCCTTCAACTGCGTTGTAAAAACACATGCACAGACTGTGAAATATGATTATACACTTTCCTTCTCTGGAACAGACAGTGAATCAAGGGGACATTTGGTAATTAATTACTTAGGGTGAAGAGGTCAATGGATGTGCAGTGTCGGCACATTTATTTTAGCATCATCATTAAACTGTCTAGGACAGTATGTTAAAAATACAGAACATCTCATCTGTTTGGGTAGTAAATGAGGTGATCTTGTGCATCCACCTGTGCTTACACATAAGAAGTTTTAAGCTTTACATACAGAATGATAAGATTATAATGTAAAGTTTTATAGCCTTTTAATGGTCTGTGGGCTTGACAAGCTAGTACAGAGAAGGCCTCTTGTGGCTCTAACTGGAAAAGTGAATAAGCATAAGGAGTGTCTTTTCTTTTGCTCTCTACTTTTCCAGCAGTTGTTCAGTAAAGAACGGTATTCTTCCAGAATTCATGTTATTCCCTTAATTCTCTGACATCTCCCTCCCCCAATCAGTACCTTGAATTGATATAACCTGTCAAACTGTTTTTGTTAGTTTTATTAGTGCTATTTCCAGAAGTGGAGTCTTCTGGGGATGAAGTTACTATATCAGCTAATCGGTATAGTCTGACAGTAATTAGCTGTTATTAGTAATAACATAAACTAATCAGAAGTCTGACATTACAGTGTTAACGCGTGAAAAATTCCTTTCTCGGACAGTACAGCTGGGAAAGAAGACACTTGAGAGAGTAATAATCTCCATAGTGAAATCATCATGGTCAAAACTCCATACATTTCCAGCTGAAAGCAAAAACCAAAGGTGACTGCTTCAGGTTAAATTTCTGTTTTCCAGACCTATCTGAATGTGTAATTTTTTTGCAGAGCCAACTCAGTCACTTGGAATCCACACAAGATGATGGGAGTGTTGTTACAATGTTCTGCCATCCTTGTCCGGGAGAAGGTCTGCCTTATATTTAATCATTAAGCAGTTAAAAAAAAAAAAAAAAAGATGTAACTATCAAGCCCTACTTTTTAACAGGGTAGTGTAAAATCCGTTTAATTTCAAAACTTCTTTTTGAAGGAATAATTGTGTGGATTTACATTGTTTTATCTTTTTTTGGTTTTTGATTTTTGGGGGGGGTTTTTTGATAAAGATGTAGACATTATGGGTCAGATCTTTAGCTGTTGAATCTTTGCACGTTCTAATAACAGCACTAGAGCCATGCTAGTATACCTCATCTGAGCATCTGCCCCATTGTTCCTATGGTATACTGAACATACGCCCTTGGTCTTAGTAATTGGTCACAGTCTAAACTGCTTAAATAAAAAGCAATTTTTTACTTTACACAGTGGTTTAAAAGTTTCTCAATTCTGTTGAAAAGAAACCATCTGCTTTTATTATGACTCCATGTATCTTTTTAGGGCTTTCTTCTAGATTCTTCATTGTCATCAATGAAAGCAAGACCAGTGTCTTAATTCTTCTAAGCAATATGTATTTTTCTTAGATTAGTCTTATCTGTGGATAGGACTAATTCTGTTGTCCACTAATTTCTGGCATGTCAATTGCTACTAGAAGAGGTTAGTTGAAGAAGTGGTCCCTGTGCACAGAACTGGGATGAAGGAGTTGTGTGTTCTAGCCCTAGGTCTGCCATTGCGCTTCCAGGTGACCCATCTCTAAACTGAAGACCGCAGCATTTATTTCCCTTTATAAACTACTTCAACATCTATTGGAGGGAAGCACAAGTCATTGTTTAGTGGCATACATGCTTTTTATGCTAACTCTTGCAGGATTTTGGGCAAATTTTTTTATTCTCTATGTAAGAGCTTTGATAGGTGTTTTTGTATTTATCAGATACACCAGTGCCTTTGAGCTTCTCCGAAGAACCACTAACAAACTCTAAAGGAGATGCAAACAGTTTTAGAAATGTCACATGTGTAAGACTTCTGTGTAACATACAGGAATTTGTTCCTCTGTGTTTCTTTCAGAGGTGTTTACCAGTAATCCACAGGTTTCTATTGGGCTGTGGACCATATTTATTTGTAAGCAAAAAATGTCTGGTTTAGATCATTTGTATTTATATTTATCACTAATGTTAAATGTCATAAGGCTAGACAATGTATAAAGTTGAAGCCTTCAATTACTTTTTTTTCTTCACTTTCTGTAGCTATCTGCTGCACTGAGAGACCACAAGCTTTATTCTAGTCTGTAATTTAGCACATCAAAAATTAAAGTTTTAAGAACATAGTCTTACAAAGTGAAGTGGACAAAGTTAGTATCAAAAACTAAGAATACAAATTAACCTGAGAATGTTTTTTCAGGTGTGGGTATGTGGGTGTGTTAAACCATATGACCTCTCAGGGACTTCTAAGAGAACTACCTTAGATTATGAAATTAGTTTTGTGGTTCAAGTTTGCAAAACAAGGTCAGTATTTAATAATTTGGCCCATTAAAGAACAATTCTTCGGTATATATTTGAATTTTTTAATAGATATTATTAATGCATACAGTTTCATATGCACATATGCCATATAAGTCATGTATTTTTCATTACAGGGTATACTTCAAGGCTGCAATCAAATGTGTGCAGGCTATCTCTTCCAGCAAGACAAACAGTATGATGTATCCTATGACACTGGAGATAAGGCGATACAGTGTGGTCGACACGTGGACATTTTCAAATTCTGGTTGATGTGGAAGGCAAAGGTAAATAATAAAAGTTCAGCTCAAAAATCAGAAATGTATTTATTTAATTTGTAACTCTCATGTTATGGAGCACCCTTTTTTAACATACATGTTTGTGTAATTACAATCTCTAAGCATGCAGGTATCTAAGTACTAAGTCAAAAAAGAACCATTTGAATTGTAGAACAATGTTATCCATCAATAAATTCAGCTAGAAATTAGAATAAAGTTTTAAGTCACTAGATGAGTCCTGCAGTAAAACCAGTGAGGGCAGGAGACTGAAATGGTCTTTTGTTGCGATTCTATACACTTACATATGTATTTTATGACAGATGACTTGTAGTAGTAGCAGAGTCGACTTTATGACTTACAAGGGTCCTTTGAGCATCACGTTTCAATGCATAGATTTTATAAGCAACTTCAAAACCAAAATTTTTCTTAAGAAGCTTTACCCAACTGATGATTTAACAGTTGATTCCCTGGTATTACTGTGATATGCCTGGGTGACTGCGTTTAAGCGTGGGTTTACATACAGGCTTACGTGGTCACAAGATGGGGGTCTATGTAGTCAAGAAAACACATTTAATTTTTATTTCTTTATCTGCAGTCATCTTATTACTATTCTTCTTGCTCTTCTGCTGACAAAATGGGAATTCAGTTGGGTGACCTGTCCACGGCCTCATCTTTTTTTATAAAACAGATTAAATCTCATGGCAAAATGTACAACCACAAAACACTTTTCACTTTGAGTGAGAGTTAGACAGCAGTAGTAAATAACCTGTGATGATAAAAGGTGTTGTCATGCAGATTTCCCAATATTGAAGACTGAGGGAAGAAAGTAAAAACTTTAGATATACAGTTGCTTTTAAACAGACTGTAAAGTTGTCAGTTTATTTTAAAGAGTGCTTCAGAAAAAGAAACACAACACTTCAACACAAGATACTTGTAACAATTGCTTTAGTAATCAGCATAGGTTTGATTATCAGGCTAAGTACATTTCAGTTCAGACTCAGTTCTTCCTCCAAAATAAATCATTTTTGGTACCGTAATCCAGTAACGTGAAGCTGCCTATGACACATTAGAATCAGACTGTGACTAGCAACTTTGAAGTGTGTTGTTTGTGGTTCTAATTACCAAGTGCTGACTACAGACACCATTAAAGCACGGACTGAACATTTTTCTAAATACCAGCCAAGCACATTTTGTTAAAGCTAGCATGCTGATTCCACCTCTGCTGTTATATTCACCTGTTAAACTGGCCTCACTAAAGAAGCAGAACACTTCACAATAAAGAAAAAAAAAATACAGTGGAAACCATAATGGATAGGGGTCATATTTAAAATTCAGAAGTAGGGTATTTGTGGATGTGATTCCTTAAAAATAATATAGATTAAAATTCCTAAGTTGATCTGTATATCTGGAATTTAAATTTCTCCAGAAATTAGTTACTTTGGATTTCTGTTTGGTCTTGAGACAGATTCAGATTTCTTGGACTTGAGTTCTTTGAGGTATTGTGTAGACCTGTTTCTAGCAGATTGCATGATTATGATACAAAAATATTAAGAAAACAAAATATTAGGAGCTATGGAAATTTTTCCTTCAGCATTAGCCACCATGAGTGATCATACTCTTGTCCTCATAGTAAAAATATACAGCCTAGGTCCAGAAGTATTCCGGTCGCTTTACCTTCAGTCATTTTATTCAGTACAAAGAACCTACCCCAAATATGCAATAATTTAGGATTTTATTTGTCTTCTGAGTGTAAGTGTACTTACTTCCTCATTCATGTACAAAGTGTACTTTAAAAAAAAATTAACCAACCCACAACTTTTTCTTTTTTCCTTAATTTATTAGCAACATTCATCTACTTTTTCTGGGATCATAATCTTTCAAAACAAATCAGATGTGACAAAAGATCAGTGGGTAGGCAAATGATGTTTAGTGAACATATTGCAGGCTTTTGTTTGCTGACTTTTTAAAATGCAAATTTCTGGCAAACTGTTCAGAGGAAATAAATTGCTGCCTAACTGTTACCCTTTCAGCTGAGTTCCCATTCTATGTTCCTAGTCTTTCAGTGAGAGCTGGGAAGCCAAGACTTAATATTCATAATATTTTTGGAAACTGAAAAAAAAAAAAGGAGCTAAAAATAATCTATTAAAAATATAAAAAAACCTTGTTATTATCATAATAAATTATCTTAAAATGAGACCAAAACCAAATAATGATTACAGTCAGGCTCCATCTAGCCGCTTTTGTAGTGTTAATTATCTTTACTTTTAAATTACAGGAAATAATACTGCTAAATGTTTCCTGACTGAAAATATTTAAGAGTGAAGCCTATCTGAAAAGATGATGGCATCAGAGCAAGAAAAATGACCATATAATTAATACTTACTTTCTTTTTAAAACAGGGTACAGTAGGATTTGAAAACCAGATCAACAAATGCCTGGAGCTGGCAGAATATCTCTACACTAAAATCAAAAACAGGGAAGAATTTGAGATGGTTTTTGAAGGGGAGGTAAGTTTTCTTTCATTTAGCCTGTGTGTTGGAGACAAATCTGTATGGACTTTCAAAAACAACCTTCACACTTCTCACAGTTCCTCAAGCCAGCTAAGCAAAGCTGTTCGTATTTTCCAAAGACCTACATGACTATTGGCATCTGGGTACTTTTTTGGCCAAATGCATGTGGTCTTGTACCATAAATGTCAGATTTATCTCCTCTCCTTCTCTTCTGCAGAGGACTTCTCAGTTGATGGCATGAAGACTACCTTAATACAATCTACTCATGCTGAGATTCCATGTTGTAACATATATAACTGAGTATCTGCTGGTTTTGCTGTATGTTCTGTTGCTCCTGCCACTGTATAAGGTCTCGGTTGATAGAGTAACAAATATACTTCGTCTCTCCATTTACTAAGAAAAGGAAAATTGGGTTGCCCTTACTGCAACCCTGGAAAACCGTTCCTCATAAAACTGCATGTTGGTGAAATGTATTTGCACTTCATTAGCACCCTAAAACACTGTAAATGGGGCAATGTATAGGGAATGTAGGAGAGCAGATGCAACCAGCAGTACTGTAATCCATGTATTTTGTTTTAACATGCAGAACTAGGAAAGTTAATACTATATTTTGTCTTCTGTGTCTGTGCTAAAATATGCTACTGACTGGCCTTTAGAGTGTGATTGATCTGTATTATTTTGTTTATCGATGTATGTGTTTTGTTCTTTTTGCAGCCAGAGCATACAAATGTATGTTTTTGGTATATTCCACCAAGTCTCAGGGGCATGCCAGACTGTGAGGAGAGAAGAGAAAAGTTACACAGGGTATGCAGCTTACGTTAAATGCAAAAATATAGTCTACTCTTTCAACCCAATGTATTCTGTTTATTAATATAACCATGTTTTGACACACATACCGAATTGTGGGACATCAGTTCTCCAATTGCTTGTTATGACCTTGATATTTGTTCACCTTTGTCTCCTATTTATGCTGAGGCTGAAGTCATGTTTCCTCTATAGAACCAGATACAAAACATACTGTTGTTCCTTGTTTTGTATCACCTCTGTACTCTCAAAAGCATTACGAAACTTTAAAAAGCAGTGAGGCGCAAAGATGTCCCAGTCCTCTTTGAGCAGGACAGCAAGGGAAATGTAAGGGTAATTATTTGAAAATGTTGGGACAGGTGAAGGAGATGGAAACCTGTAAGTCCTCAGGTCGTCTTTTTGATTTTAAATGCGCTTCGTTAGTCATGCATTAATGTGTTTCAGTGAAAATTAATACCCTTTGAGGACTTTGGGATAAATTTATTTGAAGAAATAATAGAGAGAAGTGAAGGCATTGTAGAGGCACCACCAGTACAAGTATCGTGTTACTTAGGCCTTGGGGGAAGTGAAATACATTAATTTTGTAGTAGCATTTTAGACAGGCAGAAGTGGAATGAAATACATTCAGGAGGCAAAAGAATTATTTTATAGTTGTTAAAATGAATTGCAATCTTTTTCCATCTGGGAAGGGAGAAGAATGGGAAGGGCAGACTTGGGGAGGTTTTGTAGAGGATTTTATGTCTGCATCACACTGGGGAAAGAGAACAGAAGAGAACAGAAAACCCTGGGTCAACCCAGTGACGTGTTAGATAAAGAAATTGCCAAAAAAAGAGAGAAGGATGAAACGTTTGACTTGACCCTGATAAATGTCAGAGGACATTATAAAGCATCCTACAAAACAGTGTAAGAGCTGGACATCTGACCTTGGCTGGCAGAGAGTAGAGCAGGAGAAAGAAGGTCTGGATGGCAAAACTGCTCTCAGTCAACACCAAATATTAAGATTGTCAGGACATTATTGCTCGTAAATTAAAGTGAGGAAGTGAGATTGCAGTGAATGCATGGTACTGCAAAACTACTGGAAGGTTTCCAAGGCCTATGCTAACAGAGAATATTCATTCTGAAATAGGTCTTGGTGAAAAATTTCCATCGTGATCCCGCTCCCCACCCCTCCCACCCCCCAAAAATGACTTTGAGAATACATAATATTCTCATGGATAACATCTGTTACCTTCAAAAAGGTGGTTCTGGAGTAGGTTTTCATCAAAGGACAGAAAACATTTCTTCATGACAAAAACCTTCAGTACAGAGAAATGACACGTACGTTTAATAGATAAAATTATTACATAGCGAATACTCTAAGATGCTATTAGTCTCTTAATAAAAAAGATGGATATTATTGGCAATTTTCCTTTCAATAGCCAATCCTACATATTTATTTTTTCAGGCTTTTTCTCTTACAGGCCTTTTCACAAAAACGAGTGCCTTTCTCATCTGTCCATTTATTTTTCCAAATTAAGGAATGTTGTGACATACCAAGAAAGGATAAAATTTTTAATTACTCTTTTCTCTCTCTCTCTCTTTTTCTTTTTTTTTTTTTTTTTCTCAAATGATAAAGGTGGCACCAAAAATCAAAGCACTGATGATGGAGTCAGGTACTACCATGGTTGGATATCAGCCTCAGGGCGATAAGGTCAACTTCTTCCGAATGGTCATCTCAAACCCAGCAGCGACTAAGTCTGACATTGACTTCCTCATTGAGGAAATAGAGAGATTGGGGCAGGAGCTGTAGTACAGCGGGTGAATTATTTGTTTCTCTAATTCACTGTTTTCCAGCACTGGCTATTTTTTTAACCCAGTTCTGCAGAACATGTTTTAAGGCAATTCTCTTTCTGTAAGTTCCAATCTCCTAAGACATCCTTAAACAAAACAACTATAGGCTACTAAAACTTACATGTATTGGTAGATCATATTACTGAGGGAAAATTGGTTTTTAAATGTGTATAAGTTGATAAATACATATATTTCTAAGATATACATACATATATATATATATAAAGTGGTTATAAACTTAGATCTAAACCACAGCATGTTTTCCACTTTAAGAGAATTAACTTTTCCTTCAACAACTAATGATGTGGACAATGTGGTACAGATTTTTCTGCCAGGTAAAAATAGGCATATAGAAACATTTCTAAAATGTAGATTCTTAGGAGCTAAAGAAAATGTATAACAGTATTAAATCTTATTGTTGGTGCTTCTCTCACGTACAAAACAGCAATCTCTAACAGCACCTTTGAGTAAAATAGTTGTATTTCCCCTTTAGTGTCACATCAGGGGATAATAGTAGCAGAGTCATTGTAACAGGTATATTATTGCTGTATTTTTAGAGGTTAATTTGTGTAGATTGTGTATATTATTGTTAAATGACTTTGTGTAAAAGGATTTAAATGTAATAGTTTTACAGCAAGATAACTGTTGAATTGTAGGTATATGAAATATTTGCTTATTTATATGCAGAGATTTACCATGCTGAAGAGTTGTCTTGTATTTTCTTCCATTTGTAATGTATCCTATTTATATATTATTGAAGTTCTAAATAATGTTTATGGTATTTTAGTGTCTTTGTGAGCCAAAGAAAAAAAAATACAAAAATATTAGTTGACACTTTCATTTAAATCCTAGTGCCCTTAAAATAATAACTAACAGATAATTTTACTGAATATAAGGAATTCTAACATTGTGTATAGACTGTCAAATGATGAGATCCCTTTAATCTACCAGAATTTTCAGTTTTATTTATTGTAACGTCAGACTGTCTCTTCAGTGTTCTGAATGCTTTTCTAGTGAATATTGGTTGCTAACCAAGGCCCCTGTTTTTGAGTTGTATTTCAGGACTAATCTCTGTGACCATTTAACTAAATTCTGTGGGAAGATTCCTGAAGGTCTACAGTATTTCTGTGGGAGTTTTAACCAGCATCATTCTTTTATTGAAATGGAATTCACTGTGTGTTTGGAGCTTATAAAATAAATAAAACCAAAAGTAGTCTCAGAATCTTTAAATACAGCTGGCTTGTCACAACAATTTCAACTGGCTAGACTTTTCAAAGTAGAGATGCCAGAGTCATCCACAGCTTGCTCAGTTTTAATCATAAGATAGTCAATACTACTGAGTGGAAAACTCCATGCTGGAAGCAGAGTAGTGGAACAAAATGAAGATTCAATAACCCTCTGTCTACTGAGTTACTGTCATGGTGATAAATGGAATATGCTAATTTAAAATCTCTTCATACATGATTTGATGGCTATCTTCTCTGCAAGTCAGTAATTAATTGGTTTTTCTTCTTCTTTTTTTTTTTTTTTTCCAAACCAGTAATAAAATTAAATTATTTTAGAAACATTCAGTGAAATGCAGTCATGCTATGCAGTTTTCACAGCCTCACTGCTCTCCCTCAGTCCTGTGGAAGGTCAGCTACAGCCAGGAGAGATTTCCATCCTGCAGGTCCCACTGGTTGTCTTCTGCGGATGCTGTCTCACATCTTTGGCGGGGTCAGAGCAGGGAGAAGGAAGAAGCTGTCATGGTAAATGCCATATGATATAGCACAGCCTTTCCATCTTTTCCTAGGACTATTGCTTATCCCTCTTCTATAACCTTCTGTAAAACTTTTCCTTGAAATTATTTGAGTTGAATTTAAAAATTATTATAAATCTGTCACTGTCTTTTAGATTTATGAGTATGACTTTCAAAAGATTATCTACATCGTTACTTTTATGCCATGAAACCCCACAGTAATCTCACCAGTACAGTATTTCTTCCATTAGGGTATTTTCCTCAAGATAATATAGTTGGTTTCTTGCCTTCTTGATCTTAAACCTGAATTTTCCTTAATATCTTACCTTGATATCTTACCAGGTCTTCATTACTTAACATTTCTTGATGTAAACATCCGTGCTGTATGACCTGAGGCCTGCAATACAGAAGTAGTCAGCGTGAACATTGGCTTCAGTACCAACGTTCATAATATTAAATGCCATTCTTTCAAGATATTAGCTATTCATCAAAACTAGAGGGCCTCTCATCAAGGGCTGTTTGTAGAGTACAGAAGTTGTTTCTTTTGAAGAGGAAGTACATGTCACATCTTGATTTACAGGCTTCTGCCTGAAATCTGGTCTCTGTCACAGTTGTACTTTATTCAAAGGGCAGCTATTGAAAGATTTCCCTCAGTGCTTGTTGTTTGTGTGAAACAGTATGAACTAGTATAATCAATGCAAAGATGTATAACTGCTGACCTATCTTCACTAGGGAATTTTACGTCTTCCACACAAGCAGCACCACGGTTCTACTAGTTCTTAGGTGGGAATTTCTGACCTCCTCCACCTCCCTAGTCAAGATGTTTCAGCAACAGTATTGCTAAAGATCCCAGCTTATCCTTAATCCTCTAATGTTAATATTTTAACATCATGGATCTTGTATCCGGATCATCATGGCAATATTCTAATAATAATTTATTGTATTTGAAATGTTATATCTCCTAGAATAAACTAAGAGAACCATCCTCATGTAACTCATCATGAAACTACAGGAAAGACCATAATATGGCTTACTGGCATTCATACAGCGAGCCTTGGACGGTCCTGTGATGTAGTCAGAAGCAGATCTAGACCTCTTCAGCACATGTAAAATGTTTTGCTCACTAAAATTTCTGCTTCTTCATTTAACAGAGTATCTTGTGTTTTGGAAGTCAAAAGTATGAGAGGTTCTACCTATTCCCATTGATGTTTTGCAGCTAGATGGGAATAGTGGAGCTCCTGTCTGTTTCAGAAGTGAGACAGTTAACACAGAGGTGTTTTCTCTAACGGCAGGGGGGTTAAATTTATTTTCCCACCCTCTGTATTTTCTCTTGCCTTTCTGCAGTGTTGTGTCTTGACACGGATGATACCCACTATTAGATTTTTGCAAAGCTTTTAATTCTAATATCAGACTCTGGAGTGTTTTCCTGTTACATGTATCTGCTGCCACAGGCACAGCGCTCATATTAATTTCCGACTTGGTTAGCTGATTTTAACAGAGCAGTTATGCTCATCAGTGAGAAAACTCATCTGTGTTTTCTTCTCAGTAGGTAATTTTCATCTGAGTAATATGTTACAGCTTCTCAGACAAAAGCTTACCTGGAATTTTCCTGCTTTTTAATCCATACACTGTTGACTGTGAGAGATCAGGAAGTATGGATATACAGAAGTGTTGACAAATTCAAAGCATTGCAGTTCCAGGTGAGTAATTTTGTTTTTCTGAGGTTTAAAATATACACTATGGTAGCAATTTTGCCTTTAAAATCACATGGACAATCACTGTAATTTTGTGTGGGTGAATTAAGATCAAATAAACAATAGGCAGGATCTTAGCTGAACACGTAGCTGCAGTGCTTATTAACTGATGCAATTTGTTTGGAAAAGACTTACCATTGGGTAAAAATCAACAGCAGCTGTTGATTTTGAATGAGAAAAATTCTGATTGTATTATTAAAGGTACTTTTTAGATAAAATAGTTAGATTATTCTGTTCACAGCAGACAGATGGAACCAGGGGCCTTGGGAATAACCCAGGATTTTAAAATCATTGTTGACTTAGTTCATAATCTGTTTTTTGAATGGTGATGTATATGAAGAGATTTTTTAAACAGAATCTCTGTTTTGTGGTTTAAGAAATGTCGAAGTTATAAAGAAGATATGCAATGCAGTTTTAATTTTTCAATAAAAATTGATCTTAAAACTGTCTAATTTGTCTCATATAATTTTCATGAGCTCTTTTGTTTCCTTAAGACTATGAGACAAAAGCCATACAACATTATCCCTCGCATTAAAAACATTAAGGTAAATGTTAAGGCTACTATTTAGTTTTAATTGTGAATTGAATGAGAACTTGCACCAACACAGACTGAGGAAGAACCAGAAGCTCTGGACCTTGATCAGTTTGAATAGGGTTGTCAAGACGTTAGTACTGTGTAGAAATGCTAAAAACCAGAGAATCTAAAATGTTTCTGTGTGGTGTTCTGTGTGGTTTATGAAATTCTCATCCAAACATAAAGGACTTAAGAAAGTAAACAGGAAGGTTGGAATGGGTAAAAAGAGTAAGATCAAGCCCTTGTGGTAAAAGCCCTACTATTTAATCTGTGGATATATTTATAAAACTTATTTCTTGTAACGCAGATCTTACTTACAGGAAGACCTGAATACATGCTTAACTTTGCACACTTTGCAATGCCACTGGCTGTTCTCGGTATTTGTTTATTAAGCCCATTTATATCTGCACACAATCAGAACCAGGATATTTCGATACAATCAAAAATCTACTTGACTGATAAAGTACTTTTCTGTACGCAAAAAAATGCAGGACAGGACCAGGCCTAAAAGTGTTTTGAATAGTGTTATGTTTCAGCACTTCTGTGGTTACCTGGCGAGAAATGATATACAGACAGCAAGAGGAGCCCTCGTGGCCATACGACAATACAGAGTGGAGTCAGTACTACAGGATACATGGGCTGCCTGATTGCAAAAGCGTTTAAAGTTTGCATTGCAGAGAACCTGTGAATATTCTTATCAGTTAGAACTGAGTTTCTTTGTTCGGGCACTTCTGTATTAAGTGTTATAATGCACAGCCTTTTACAGTAAAAATGTTTCCTTGAAACACAAATAAATGAGATACTGGCAGCTTTATTTTGTGAGTAAAGTAAATATGTTTGCAAGAATAATTTTGTAAAGGTGTGCAAGGGAAGCCTAATCTTGCCACCACAGAAGTTGACGGGAGAATTGCTGCTGATGGCTTGAATCAATCTTTCCCATTCTGGGAAATAAAAGACCATTTCATAATAAAACAACAGAATGAGACCCGAAGTCTGAAATACTAAAATTCTCTAAAAAAAGGCTATACATAATGTAGTAACATCAAACAAATTCAGTGTATCTCATACAGAATCATAGACGTTTTAAA